GTTTTGTGTAGGTTTGGCATGCTTGGTTCAATCAGTTGTTTCGGTGCATCCAGATGAATGACGTCATCACACGGATGTCGTTTCTTCATACGGCTTCCATCATTCTTTTGTAAAAAATGAATCTGTAACCACAGTACTGAGCAGTGTAATTGTTGCAGCTAATGATTCTTCTTGATGCTACATTTCCCAAACTTTTCATAGTTTTGACGTGGACAGAGATTAGAAGACCTTATTGCCTGCCATTCATCCACCCTTCAGCACATCTTAACTATCACTGTTCTGGGTGATGCCATTTTATTTATTTGTTTGTTTGTTTGGAGTTTTTATATACTGTCCCAGTCACATAAGCCTTGGGACGGCTTCCAACATAATAAATAAACAATCATATAAATCATACATATAAAATATAAAATCTGGATTCACCCTGGCTGTAAAAATTAAAACAATAAATAATATTAACAATTATTAAAATATTGTTTGAATAAAAAGGTCTTGGCCTGGCGCTGAAAAACAAATAACGACGGCACCAGGCGGACCTCTCTGGGGAGCGCATTCCATAGATGGGGCGCCACTGCAGAGAAAGCCCTCCTCCAGGTACTCACCCTCCTGATGTCTTTCACGGAGAGTTCCTGGAGGAGGGCCTCTGCCACCGATCTCAAGCATCATCAACATCATCACCACCGATTATTAGCGGGTGTTCTTTAAAATCCAACTTTTGAACCTAAAATGCCCCTTTCCTCACTTTGTTCCAGAGAGAACTATTTGGCCTAAATGCAATGAAGGGACAATCCAGCGGGTTGGACCTTGGATGCTTGCAAGCTGCCACACTTGGAAGCTCACGGCCGTCCTGTGTGGAACTGAGGAAGCAGAGGCGGCCACTGGGGAACCAAGGTTCCCAGGCTTCACTCCCTCTCCAAGGCTGAGCTTCTGACCTTGGAAGTGCAGCCAGAGGGGTTCTTTCCTGGCTGGCTGCAAGCAAAGGTCTTGGGCAGGAACACAGAGCCCTGGTCAGGGCCTGTGCTATTTGCCACCTTGGATCTGGGAGTACAAAGGCTACTGTATGGCCCCCTAGATTCTCCCCACAGGCTTGCCCTCCTTTGGGTGTTTCAAAATCTGTTTAAGAAACCCTGCTCCTTTTTCAGTTGGCATAATTTCAGCAATGCATCCCACCCAGTGATTAAATAAGGCACTTTTTCGCCTGCCTTTGAAATGGAAACAGTTGCATGGGGGCACTTAAATTAAAAAAATGCTTTAGTACAAGTTGAACCAATTTAAAAAATCACGTTGCGTGGAGATTTGTCCTATTCCTGCCCACATTCTCATGCCAGACCTGCTACTGTAATGGGACATGATGGGGATGTGTGGAGAAAATGCACATTCCGTGCAAACTCCAGGGCATGGATGTTTCTGCGTAAAGTGAGGAAGCATCTCATGCTGAAGCAGCATTCCCACTATCTTGCAGTACCTAAGAAGGTTTTGCAGGGAACTGGCTGTGCAGGGTGAAAGCCAAAACTCACACATTGCTTGCTTCTGGAACAAGAATATAAAAGCTGCTCTACTGGATCAGACCAAAGGCCTATTTAACATTCTGTTTTCCCACAGCGGTCAGTCGGTCGCCTCTGAGAAGTCTACAAAGAGGAGTGCAAGGGGTTCTCTCTCTTCCCAGCAACCCATATTTTTCCAGTGTTCCTAGGGGTAGCATATAGCCATAATGACTATCAGCTATAAATAGTCTTGAAGTCTTTCTGCATGAGGCATTTATTGTGTGTTGTACTCATGATACTTTATGGGCTTTTTAGACAAAATCGTGATCTTCCAATTCTGCTTTTTCAGAGCATTTTCCTTTTTAAAAAATTAAAAAACACTGTATTTATTTCAAAGGGGGACAATTATGCTAAGCCTTGGTGTGCATTGAAGTATCCTGCTACAAACCTATTTGTAGAGCTCAGCTCTCAAATTCTGCAATGAAACTGAAAACAGGGAAAGCAATTAACATTCTCAGGCAAAGAGTTCTATAAATTTGTGTAATTATAACATTTCACTTTTTCCTCTTGTGAGGAACCCAAGGCAGCTTGGATTGACCCTTGTGAGGTAGGTTAGGCTCTGAATGGGTGGCGGCCCAAAGCCACAGAGTGCGCTTCATTCTTCATGAAAGAAGAAGACGAACTGTGCAAGCTCCAGGAATTTGAGGGATGAGGCAAGATGGCCTCAATGGGACCCTCTCACGGGACCATTGCCGGTAGAACTTCCCACAGAAGAAGGGACAGTCCAGCTCCAACAAAGGCCTGAGATAATATGAATTCACAGTCTAGTTTGGTTTCTGGCACAGGTTCATTCTGGGTTGTCTGGACCTCTCGCTTATTACCATGGCTCCTACTGGCCCTTGTTGTACAAAAGCAAAGCACATGCAGGATATGAAAAAAAAAACTTCAGTATCAGCATCATAGTCAAAACCGATGCCACATTATGAAAATCAGGCTGAGAAGGATACTTTTAATTGATGTTATATTTAACTAGATTGCTTCTCCTTCATGTTAAGAAAATCATAGGCCCTAAGCTGAGGCCTTGTTAGTCTGTTCAAGGATCCAACTTTGTTGAAATGACCTTGATTTCCATCATTCAAAAAAAAACGAATGGAGTGCAAGGTTAAGCACGGATTGTCTCGATTGTTTTTCAAACTTTCCTTGGTGCTTGTAGACCAGGAATGGATCAGAGTTTGAGAAATGTTGATCTGGATTGTCAGGTTGATAAGAAGAAAAAATCAGGCTGATTTGTTCTTGACCCTTTCAGGTCAGCCCATGAAGCCTTTGTGGTTACATAGAGAGACTTGTTTTGGAAGCCGCCCCGAGGCTTTTTGTGCATGGGGCGGCATATAAATGTTCCAAATAAAATAGAATAAATAAATACTGTGTTTTAGCAGTGAAAGAGGCGGCTCCAAGGCTCCATTCAGAAGCCGACGACCTCTGTGGTCCGAGAGAGGGTTGTGGCCCATAAACTTGATGGAACACAGAGCTTGAGGAGATCCCTTGTTCAACGGGACAGGCCATGATGGATGATACAATGCTGAGTCCTCAGGTATGGTGGATTCAAACTGCAGCTGAGGCCAGGGTTGCGATCCCTCAGGTCCCATTCTTTCATGAGAACAACCTGAGAACATCCTTCTTTTATATTGTTTCTATCCCAACTTTATTGCTGAAAGTTCGGCGTGGCAGTTCGAGACCAAAAGACCTTCTTGCGGTCTGGTATCCTGTTCCCAATGCCAAGCAGATGGATACTTCTAGAAGATTCTGGAAGTGCGCATGTTTGGCATAAAAAGCAACAGCACTCCAGGTCTGCCTTTCCCCATTTATTGCATTCAGAGCTGTTCTTGCCCTCTGACTATTGGGGCCCCCTTTAGCTATGGTGACGCTCAGGCAAAATCTTTCTGCAAGATTGTTCAGACTGAGAGGAATAAGCCAAGCTGCTAACATCATGCTGGCCTTTCATGCAACCTGGTCCTACATGCTTATGCAGAGAGAGGTTCTCCAAATCCCACTGGCCTTCCATGCTGCTGCTCCAGTCGCTATCTCTACAGGTATATCGTGTCCAAGGAAGACCATAATGCACTAGCAGTGTTGCCCAAATGGTGTGTGTGGTCCAAAATTACACAACAGGGTGAAGGTTTTTAAAGTTTATTCTCAAAAACAAATGGGTGCCAATGAATCATTCCTGTATGGGACACCTGAGCCTTCCTCAGGGTGTCCCCTTTTATACATTTGTCCATTAAAGGATTACATGTAGCACAATTAGCACTTTCTAATAGGTTATAGGTATAGTTACAATGGTGTGACTTCCCCCCTTGCATATTCAAGTAGAAAGAACATGTTTCAAAGGTGGGAGGATTGTCCCTCCAAGATGGAGGACGGGGTGTTATGCCGAAGTTAAGAATGAATGTCTCAATTGCGCTTTCCTTCTTGCTATCAGACATGTATCAGTTGGCCTGCTTTGAGGTACTGCCTGAACAGCTCAGCTACAGTTCAGAAAATCACATTCTGGTCCCAAAGAGTAGAGCTTCCTCTAGCCAGCAGTATCTAGCTTCTGCCAATGATTGCATGATTTACCTAATCTATTGATTTGCTCAACAGCAATACAAATGAAAGTGATACAGAGTGCTTATGCGGTGTTTTATAATAGATACTTGGGATTTCTCATGTGAATTATATATTTTTCTGCAATCCAGGAGTTGGAAACATACGGACGTTCATATGTTGGATTACAACTTCCAGCATCCCTGAAGACTAGCCATTCTGGTCGGGGCTGACAGACATTGCACCCCACCTATAACCTGCCATTCACTTATTTCAGATCCTCTCAGCCCACCTTTTAATCTTATTTTGAGCACAGACTTTTTGGTTTAAGCCAACAACCATTCCCTTTCCCATTCTTTCCCTCTTACTTCTCTCCCCCCTTTTACAACTCAGATTGGTACAGCCCAGCCGGCCGGTTCCCTCGCTTTTCCTTTCCGCCCCGCCCATTTCCTTAACACGTCAGACGCAAGCCTCGCTTTGGATTCGGCACTACGTCACTACGAAATCGCCCTATACGGATCCCGAAGGGTTCGGGCAAAGTCTCGCGCGTTGGGCAGAAACGAAGGCGCTGATTGGGCTAGCATTTGAGTAAGGCTCTTCTCGATTGGCTGTATGCTGTAATCCAATGAAGAAACGGTTTGTTTTGGGAGGAGGGTGAGAGAGAAGGCTGGGTTGTGGGGGACAGAAGGGAGAAAAAAGGGTGAGGGGAGGGGGCCTGGGGGAGAGCGCCCCTAGTGCAAGGGGGAACCCAAGGCGGGGGGGGAAGAGAGAATCGACTCCCCTGCAGGGGTGTGGTGGAGGGCGAACGAGCGACCCTCCCCGGAGGGGTCTATTGGGGGAGGGGAACTGTGAGCGGTCAGTGCGGGAGAGGAGTGTGTGGTGGGTAAGAGAAAGGCAGAGGCTCCTCCTCTCTCCCCCCGCGTAAAGGTGTGTATGGGGGGTGGGGGTCTTCATGCACGGATTGGGAAGCCAGACCTCTATGGAGGGAAGGGAAGGCGAGGGGAGGGCAGAGCCAGGTGGAACACGTGCACCTGTGCCAAGGAGGGCGGGTGGGCAGAGTGGAAGGAGAGGCAAGGGAGATACAGCGTACGTGATATAGGGGAATGGTGAAAAGAGTTCAAGGGATACTTCCTCAGATACAAGGTCTGGCTTGCGAAATTGTGCTTTAATATGTGTGTTTGTCTTTATTGCGGAGTTCTTTGTTGTGAAGGTGGGGGGCAAGCAGGGGAGGCCTGTCTTTCAAAGTGAAGTGTAGGGGAAGCACGTTCAGTGCTCAAGGGTGAAGGCAGAAGAGTGTGAACTGCTTTCAAGCATGCCAGTAGAGAACTGGGGTGTCTGCCTTTCTCAATACTGTAAAAACAATAGGTGTGGGGGAAGGGAGGAATCCACCTATTCTCAATGGAGTGAGCTGTCAGTAAGGAGGCCTTGTAATGGGGAAACTGAAGTGAGAGGTGAAAGGTGTAAGTCTTAAAGCACAATGAACAAATTTTCTGTAACCTTTCTATTTATACTTTTTTAAGCCTGAGTTTCCAGAGATTTGAAAGGACCCTCTTTTACAGGACTTGATACATGCTGAAGCAAGCCTGACTGGATGCAGTACTAGGGCTGGAAGCCCATCTGGGGCTGCCTGTTGGTTTTAGATCTGGAAGGTATGTGGCAGAAATCTGATCCAGTCTGAAGCCAGTGGAAATGTGGTTAGAGTCTTGAAGAGCTTGTGAAAAAATAAGTGTTTTGAAAACAATATGAATCTATGTGCATGTTTTTTAAACAGTGATTTTCTTTTTTGAAAAGAAGATTGTTTAGAATGAATCTGAATTTAAAGCGAACAGTTATAATTTCTTAAAACTAAATAACTGGCTCTGTTAAATCTGTTTTCTTATGTAAAAGAATATAGTATTAGGGGAAATTTGGTTAGGTTTTATAATTATATGACAAATGGATAATGAATGGCATTTATTATTCAGAAAAGTTATTAATATTTATTTTACTGGCTACCCAACAATATGAGCATTTATACTTTTTCTTATGGGAAACTCCAGTGTACTAATGACACTCTTGTTTTTGGATCTTTAAATCTTCTGGATCTAAAGCTTGGAATTCTGCAAGTTACTTGGGCTACTCCAATAAAATTTTATCTGAACATGACTCTCATGCCAAATCACAAATCATTTTTGGAATTTCCATAGAATTAAAAGTTAGACGTTATTGCCTTATGCTGCATCTTGTTTGCCATTTCTTGCTTGCTTGTTTTGTTTCCTGGTTCGGAGAAATCCTTTTGGAGTGCATCACAATCCATTTTAGCTTTTTCACCCTGAAAACTTTAATACTGTCCTCATATAGGGTTGCTTGCAGATCAGTTGACTGGCTATTTCTTCTAAGACCAGTGTGCCCCAGGAATTAAGCGTCAAAGTTGCAAGTGGAACACATGAAAACTAAGGGACTAAGGCTTGCACTCACTTTGTCTCCCAGTACCTCATGCATCTAGCACCAGGAACCACTGTAAGAACTCGCAGCACTTCCAAGCGGCCTGGGTGAGGAAGTCCAGTCCTGCCATGAACACACTTGTTTGCTTTATTCTACTTTAAGCCACTTTGATATGTTTGTCTAGTTGGTGTAGTATCTTGTATAACTCTATAGTTATACTGTATATGTTATGTAGTAACATCTGTTATAATTCGGCTATTATTTTGTAATGGTCAGCTCTTCTACAAAGCCATTTTAAAATATGAACTGTTACTTCATAATAGTAGTTTGTTTTTTAAACTAGTATTCGTAAATTAGTATACTTATCAAATCTGTTGAATGAAGTGTTTCTCATTCAATGAAACTTAATCCTTTAAAAATACTTAAGAGTGTAATTCTAAGGGATTACCAGTCAGTATGCAGAAAACTCTGGGATCAGAGCCTAAAGTATCCTATTCCCTGGAGCAGCTACACTAGGTGGGAGAAGGACAGATGTGATAAGTCTATGAGTCTCTTGGTTTCTCTAGTTGATCTACTGTGTTGTGAAGTGGCATGGATGAAATTTAAGGCAGTGTTTCTCATCAAAAAACCATGATGGGTTTTTTTTGTGGGTGGGGTGGTATTTCACCTTTAAATGTGGTTTAAATCAATGGTACACAGTAGACTTCTTTGTTGGTTATTTAAATTAGGAATTCAGATGTCTTGGAATTAAATTGGTATTCTCCTGCTGGCAGCCTCTTTAGGACTAGGTAAAAAGTACTAAGATGCTGTGTGTTGAGCTATGGCAAAGTTCAACACATGAAGTTCTCAGCTTTGGCTGTTGGGTGGTACAGACATGTAGTAAAATTGTCAATGGGATATACATATGATGGGGGCAATCACCTGAAAAACATTAATTGCACCTTTGAAAATGACATGCGTGCATAGCAATGCATTTATAGTTGCCATACATTCATTTTTGCTAATGAACTTAGGAAACAGATTTCTGTGGGGAAAAATAAAGCACTGGAAACACAATGGAAATATGACCATCACTGCATAAACGTATCTGAGCTGGGATAGGGGAGCTGCCTATTTTCACGTGTATTTTTAATAGCATATAGGTGCCTTTACGGAATAAGTTAAGCAAAGCCATCTTTCATTATTACAAGAGAAGTCCATCTTTATTTTTTCCTTCCCCTGTAACTAAAATGTAAGTTACCTGAGTGTAACTTGCCTGAGTGTGGTTCTTACCCCTCGAGCCTCTCTAATTTAAAATGTGTTCTCAAGCTGTGATCGACAAGGTAATGAACCTTGCAATCCTATATACACATGCCTGGGAGTAAGCTATGTAGGACCCAGTTGATAGACTTCCAGGAGAACCTGTATTGGACTGTGCTGCATACAGGTTTAGTTCTTATATTTGGAGCTCCTTCCTGAGGACACCACTCCATAACTCGTGTCTTGCCGGCTTCATCCCCACACATAGTCTAGGATACTGTCACTGAATTAAAAGCACCCTTAAGTCAATTTAATTGATATGAATGTCTTAATCAAATATATCATTTGCATATAAATGGCATGGTTTTGAAGTATGGGGGGATGCATTTTTCTTTGTTTGAAAGAACTGGAAGCTTGTGATACAGCAAGCTTGATCTCAGAAGAGTTTTAGAAGCACTTGTATTCTTAATGCATTTGTTAGTTTACTTTTTTAAAAAAAGATCTGCCTGATTAATAGGGCACTTAAATCTTTGGCTTTGGGGTCACTCAATCAGATTAATCGACCCACTGTCGCTGCCCACCCATCCCCCTAATTTTGCCTTTGGCGTTCTTGTCTGTCCAGATAGCCTGGGAGACTTCTTTCACGATGGCAGAATCCGCCGAAGAGACACTGCTCTATGTGGAACATCGCTATGTCTGCTCGGAGTGCAGCCAGCAGTTCAGCACCTTGGAGGAAGCCCTGGTGCACCAGCAGAGCCACATGTGCTCCCAGGAGCAGCAGTATGAAGTCGTCGGGCTGGCGGAAGCCGGGCTGGTGGCAGCTGGGGAGACTGGTCTCTACCAGACCGTGACTGTGCAGGAGAGCCAGTACCAGTGTTTGGAGTGTGGGCAGATCCTCATGTCCCCAAGCCAGTTGCTGGAACACCAGGAGATGCACCTTAAGCTGGTGACCCAGGAGCCGGAGCCCTTGGTGAAGCCGCTGAGCTCCAGTCAAATTCACTACGAGTGCACAGAGTGCAAGGCGCTGTTCACCAGCCAGGACGTGTGGCTCGCCCATCGTCAGACCCACCGCAAGCCGCCGGAGCCACCCGCTCCTCCCCCGCAGAGTCGGGCGCTGGTGAATCTGGAGCATTCCTACCGGAAGCCAGTGGATGGGGCAGATCCCAGCGGAACGGTGCAGTTGCTGCTCTACGAGTGCGGGGAGTGCCTCCAGTTGTTTCAGTCGACCACAGACTTCCTGGAGCACCAGGCCACACACCAGGTGGTGCAGCCCCCGCCAGCGACCCGAGCCAGGGAGATGCCTGCCCCGTGCCCCGCAGAGCCAAAGGAGCTGGCGCTGCCCAGCTTAGTGGCCGTCCATAATGGCGCCGTGCCCCCACCGGCCCCCACCAGCGTGACGGCCACGGACCACAGCTACGAACTGAAGAACAACCCGGTGGAGCAAGCGCCCCGCAAGGCCAAGCCAGCCACCAAGGAGCACGTCTGCACGGAGTGTGAGCAGGTTTTCCCGTCGGCCCACAAGCTGCAGCTGCACATGCGGAGCCACCGGCAGGGGGCTTTCAAGTGCCCCCTGTGCAGCAAGGTGCTGCCTTCGCCGGCTATGCTGGAGAAGCATCGGGAGGAGCACAGCGGGGAGTCCCGCTTCCTGTGCGTGGACTGCGGGCTTGGCTTCGGCACCGAGGCGGTGCTCCTGTCCCACCGCCGCACGCACTCCTCGAACCCCTTGTACCGCTGCACTTGCGGGAAGACCTTCATCAACATGACCAAGTTCCTCTACCATCGGCGCTCCCACAGCGCCAATTCGGCCCAGGCCCACGACCTGCCCGCGTCTCCTCCCGAGGACCAGCCTCTGGAGGAGGAGCCCCCCGAAGCGCCGGAGCAGCCGGAGGAGCAGCAGGAAGTGGTGCCCCTGGCCATCATCTGCTCCGTGGACAACGCGGCCATCTCGGTGGACGGCGGCCCCCAGGAGCAAGCCCCCGATGAGTTCCAGTGCCAGATGTGCAACAAGACCTTTCCCAAGCAGACGCAGCTGTCCCGCCACCAGCGCTTCGCTCACAAGATGGAGCGCCGCCACAAATGCCTGACGTGCGGCAAGATGTTCAAGAAGAAGTCCCACATGCGCAACCACCTCTTGACCCACACTGGGGAGAGGCCCTACCACTGCAAGGAGTGCGGCAAGAGCTTCAACTCGCCAGCCAACCTGCAGCGCCACCGCCTGACGCACACCGGCGAGCGCCCCTACCGCTGCGACATCTGCCAGAAGTGCTTCACGCAGTCTTCCACCCTGCAGCAGCACCTCCTGGTGCACAGCCGCCACTATCCGTACAAATGCCTGGAATGCGGCAGCGTCTTCCACCGGCCTTACCGCCTGCTCATGCACCGCTACCACCACACCGGGGAGTACCCCTACAAGTGCCAGACCTGCGGGCGCTCCTTCTTGCTTCGCCGCCTGCTGGAGGTCCACCAGCTGAGCCACACCGGGCAGCAGCCCCACCGCTGCACCACTGGCTGCGGCGCAGCCTTCGTCACAGCCGAGCAGCTGAAGGAGCACAAGTGCGGGAAGATGAGCCGCCACTTCGAGTGCTCCGTCTGTGGCAAGAAGGTGGGCTCCACCGTGCAGCTTCGAGCCCACGAGCAGCTGCACGGGGACATCCAGGTTCCTGAAGGGGTGGAGGAGGAGCCCCCCGTGCTCGAGCCGCCCCCGCCCCGGCCGCGCCGCCCCACCTGCCCCAAGACCTTTGAGTGCAACGACTGCAAGAAACTGTTCAGCACGGAGACGTCGCTGCAGGTCCACCGCCGCATCCACACTGGGGAGCGCCCCTATCCGTGCCCGGATTGCGGGAAGGCCTTCCGGCAGTCCACCCACCTCAAGGATCACCGGCGCCTCCACACTGGGGAGAAGCCTTTTAAGTGTGACGAGTGTGGGAAAGCGTTCACGATTGCAGTGCGGCTGGCCGAGCACAAGCGGATCCACACGGGGGAGCGCCCGTACCACTGCGATGCCTGTGGCAAGGCGTACCGGTCCTTCTCCAACCTCTGGAAGCATCGCAAAATGCACCAGCAGCAGCGCCTGCAGCACGAGCAAGAGGTCATGGCAGAGGCTGTGGCTGCGGCTGCAGCGGCGGCAGCGGCAGCGGCGGCAGCTACGTCTTCAGCTTCCGCAGCGTCTAGTGAGCAGGTCTATGGCAACACCGTGACCATTATGGAGACGATCCCAGTGGTGGAGACCATTGAAATCTATCCAACCGATGGGGGTGTTCACTTCGAGAACATCCAGGTGGAGAATGTTCAGATTGGGGAAGTTTGAGTCGGGCTGGGGGGAGTGAGGAGGGGCAGCTGGTAACGCTATGTGGACTGGGAGCTGCTACTCTCTGGCTCCCCCTCATGAGGCCTTGGTGTAGCTGCAGCAACTCCTGCTCCCCAGCTTTTATCGATATGCTCTGGTGTCCACCTCTTGGCCATTTCTGGAATGTGGTTGCATCATTTTTTTCTTCCCCGGTTCTGCGATGAACCGGGGGCCATCTCCTCTGCACACACGCACACTGCTTAACCAGAGCAGCAAGGCCAACCGCTTGGGCACTCCACAATCATGGGCTCCTATCCTCCATCTTCCACGGGGTTGCCTGTAACTTTCAACTGAGCGGTATAGAACTTGGCTCTTGCCATGCGGGCAGCCCCACAATCCCAGGATTGCCCAATAGCAGCCATCTCAGCGGCTAAGCACCCTTTAATGCTAAATGGTTTTTTGTTTCCCTTCCCTTCCCTGCTAGGGTTCAGCCTGGATTGTAAATACCTCTTGACTGGGTTTCTGCGCTTCACTGTGGGATTCTCCTCCTGTTCGCTGTTGCTCTCCATCACTCAGATACTATCCCCTGTGACACATAACATCTTTTTCTTTGGTTTCTTGCTAACTGGATTCATCCCAATGGCTGTGGGAGCATTTTGTTATTTCGTATTAAAATTAAACAGAAATCAGAGTGCTCAAGATCTTTGAAGTGTGGTTTGTTTTTGTATCGGGGAGGAAAATTTCCCTTGTACGCAGGATATGACAGTGGTATTTGAGTCAGCTTGTGTGTTGTGCTGGTGTTGCTCATAAGCCCTCTGAAATAGAGGTTTATGAGCATTCTCTGCGAGGCCAGAGCAGCGGTAAAAGTGAACTCTGCCTCCCCAGCTTCCAGCCCTGTATTTTTGTTAGGTGGGCTTTTTCCGGGGTAGGAGGGCAGGAGGATGGAGAGACATCAAGATAGCTTGTATCCTGGTCATCTGGTCATTTCCTGGTCTTCTCTTCTGCCTGCTTACTGAAGCACTCCTGTTTACTTCTGTCAGAGGTCACATTCCCGGCCTCAGAGAGCCAGCTGATGTGGTTCCACAGAAGGCAGGTCCTGGAGCTGAGGTGGGTGCCCAAAATGGCCTCGAGCCCCTTAGAAGCTAAGGGCCATACGATCATCCCCTCTGTGATGATTGAATTGTCAACTTGAACTGATCGGTTTGCAATGGCAGCAGTGTTTGGATAGCTGTTGAGACTGATTGGATTGGAAATCTTTATTTGGTTAGAAATGTGGCCTTAATGTTAGGAAACAGATTAAAATAATACTTATTTGTACGAAAAGTACTTAATTTTGGAAGGGGCATTCTTCATTCTCCCCCATGCAGGAGGGTATGCCTCGTTTAAAACTGCTGTGGCATTCAGTTCGGAAAAGAAGTTATCTTTATTTTATTTGAAGGCTTGCTGATTTATTTTATTGACAAACTTACATGATTAACCAGCTAAGATGTTTTCGAAATGCACAAGTCCTGAAATTTTTAAGTGTCATTATACAGTGCCTTTTCGAGGGTAATTTCAAATGTAATAATCAGAGATATCAATCGTTGGAAGGAAAGAATATCTTCAATATTTTCATTCTTGGTTGTAGTCAGAGCATAACTGATCTCTGAAGGTGCACTCTAACTAAATCTTGACTTAACTGAATATAATCTCCCCATGCCCGCCGCTGATAAATCAACCACGTGTGATCCTTGTAGGCTTTTAGTTATCTGATCGTTTCTTTGGCTGCATTGTTTCATTGTGTCCACTGGGTGGAGCTGTTCATACGAATTGCCTTTCTGCATTTGATCAAAAATCTGCTTGGCCCAGCTATCTGTCTCCAACAGCAGACAGCTCGATGCCTCATGGGGAGTCACAAGCAAGCCGTCTCCTCCTGTCTGCTTCCAGCATCAGGACTATTCTATTATCTCTAAACCTGGAAATTTCAGTCTAGCTGACAGTGCTCATAATTTTGGCTGTCACATTGCTATTTTCACGGCCTCGTCACTGGGAAAGGGAACAGCTGAGGGGCAAATGATAATTGAGTTACAAAATGTGAGTGTGGGGAAAGAGAATTGCCCCCTGAGGCTGGGCCCAATTTTGTTTCCCAGAAAAGAACGCACCAAAGAAATAGAGGAGGGGTGAGTAGATTTCAGTGTCTCGGCAGAATTCCTAGTCAAGAATAAAATGCCTGGAAAGCCTGAAATGATTTCCCCATTAAAATATAAACTCGTGTTCTCAGGACTGATGGAAAGTTGGCTACAAGTTGTATTACAGTGTAAACAGGATTATTCAAGTTGTGATCCTGTTTACACTACGCGGTTTTTCTCCCCACCTGGTTTCTCCCTCTTAACCCAGCTTCCATTGGGCTATTTTCTTCCCTGTACCTGACCACTGAAGCAAGTAATTCCCAGCTGCAGCTCCTTTCCCGAGCTGCCTGTGGCTCTCAGACCAGGTGTCTTGTCTTATTCCTCTCTGTGGCCACCTGCCACCTCCACACATAGGGTGGGTGCAGGTAGGTCCTGGAGGGCAGGAGGGGCAGGGCAAAATTGGCACTGCGCCTTTGCACCACCCTTGGTAGGGCTTTTTCCTCAAATGTGAGAGCTTTGCTGGCCAGGGAGCTGGCCATGGTGCTGAAGGAACCAGCTGGGAGGGTTCAGTCACTTAAATGTGCAGCAGATCACAGAACATTTTCCTTCATGCTTGAATGCGCATGCAGTCAGTTCTCCCAGGGCTGCATAGCAGTTTCCCCCTGTGCTTTTTCTTAGAGTCTTTCAGTGTTGTCACGACAGCTTGAGGAAGGATCTCATTCTGGTCATCTCTTTCTGGCTGGCTGCAAGGTTGCTACTCCCTGGGGTTGGCTCTGCTTCTAGCTTTCCACCTCTGGCATGTCAATGCACCTTCCAATGACATGCATTAAAGATGTGCTAATGCGGTATTAAGCATGGAATGAAGCAGCCTTTTTGCTCCTGTGAGTCAGGCTTTGGAAGCTGTAACAGTTCAGATTGGTCTGGTTTAATTTTGTCACTAGAATGAAGCTAAGTACATGGATTGAACTCCTGTGGGAGTAACTTCTCTATCAATGTCAGAAATGGGCAATTGTATGTAAGACCTGTGGCTTTTGTGGAGCTTAATTTATTGAACAGGGATACTTCTGCAGGGGGCATGGTGCAAGTACACACATGTATATGACAGGTGTGTATGCTCTAATCATGGGAGCAAGGTATTCTAATTTCTAGCATTTGTTTTATTTTCTTTTAATTATGGTCAATTGTAGGAGGGTGGACATGGAGGGAGGCTTGAGACAAGGTAACAAAACCCACGTTCCTAGCAGAAATTTTCTGGGTTGAAGATAGGCTGGGGGAGCCCATCTGAATGTCTGATTTTACAGATTCATTGGCATGTACTAGAAAATACTGTTAAACTTATTTTAATTTTTGAGAACAAAAATGGGGAGTAATTACATATACCAGTTTGGTGCAATACAAATACAAAAGAGTACCATGTGAATAATCTAATATCAGCTAGTTTATTTTTAAAAGTACAGAAATATTCTCACAAAGCGCATGACTCATTGCTAGTAGACTGTATTGCTTTAAAAATCCTCTTTATTACTCTCGCCCTCCCCCAACAAACCTCAGTTCAACTGTTGGCTAAGACATGTCAACTGTCTACAATTGCAAATTAGAAAGAGATTTGTCCTCCCAGTATTATATAATTCTCTTGGCTATTATCTGTGCTTGAAGAATCCGTATTTTTGGATACACAGATATAATATTAACAAAGAGCTGCTCTTAAAATGGATTATGATAGATTTTTACAAATAAAAACAAGTGAGACAATAATTGACCTCATCAAGGTGCCAATAAAATAATAAAAAGAACAAGAGGAAAAGTGGGGAAGGGACAAACTTGTATGTTATCAAAGAACAAATGCCCACGTGTGTGCTTTCTATTTGGTCATACGATTTATGGAGATGATAAGGCCCTGAAATGCCTGTGGCATTAGGGTTTCTCAAACCTTTGCCAACAGCCTCTGAATGTACAGGGTCATTTGGACACCATGACTGGCACGCTTACTTAATGTGGAAGCTGTAGCTGTCCTTAATTTTTACGCCACTGAATTCTGTAGGCAAAGTGCTATTGAAGAAGTGCTTTCTTTGGTCTGGCCACCCATCTTACTAGATGCCTATGAATGCATGGAGCTGGGATGTGACAGCGGATTTTTATAAATGCCATACTCTTAAAATATGGGGAAAAGCTCAAAAGGCACCATCTGAGGCATGTTCAGACGGAAAAAAGACTTACAATTTCCAGTATGCCGTGGCTGGAATGCTTGGAGTTGTAGGCCTTTTTTCTGTATAAGCTTGCATAGGATTATGCCTTACATCTCCTTTTCAGGTCCATGTATCTATTCCTTCACTTTCTTCTGGCATGTTTTGCATTCTAAGTCTTACGCATGCTTCTGTGTCTCTCCCTTTCCATGTATATACATGACTATTTTCATACGGGGCTAGAAAGGAAACAATTCCCCTATGTTGTATTTACCTCCTCTGAGAAATGCTGTAATGAAATGTTGAACCAGTAACTCCCTGACTCAAAAAGCTTGAGTCTCGTAATGTATTAATTTTTGGTTTGCTTGTTTTGACTTTGTGCTGCCTTCTTACAAATTGCACTCAAGGTGGCTTAACGAGAACAGAAATCATAATAGAATACAGTGTAAAATACAAAGGATAACTGCCAAACAAAAACTCATTAAACAAAAGAACAGGGCCATAAGAAGCAATAGTTAAGATACTGTACTGGCAGATCCAAAAATGCCCTATTTAATCAACGGGCAAATATTAAAACAAGATGCCTTGACTTGTTGCCTGAAAGAAACCAGTTCAAAAGCAGTTTTGTTTAGCTGGGCTGGCCATTTTACTCAGGTGTTCCTGTGTAATAACAATAATTCCGATATCTTGTTCGAGATACCTGGGACAGTGAGCACGGTTCTCCCACTTACATCTTCACAATATATCTGTGAAGTAGGTTGGTCTGAGAAATAGTGACTGAGGGGAGATCATCCAACCAGCTTCATGGTAGAGAGGAATTTAGAACCTGGGTCTCCCCAGTCTATGTTTCACCCGCTGCTGGTTCTAGCATACACCTCTAAGATGTGCCAAGTGTGAATGTGGCAAGCATATCATAGAATCATGTAGAATAGAGCTGGAAGGGGCCATGAAGGTCATCCAGTCCACCCCCTGCTGTTGCAGGACACCAAGTCGCACCATCCCACTCAGAGGGCTGCCCAGTTTCTTTCTGAATGCCTCTAATGTGGGAGAGCCCCCCACCTCGCTAAGCAGCTGCTCTGACAGTGAGGAAGCACTTCCTGATGTCCAGCCTGAATCTGGGTTGTCGCAACTTGGATTGATCATTCCGTGCCCTACACTCCGGCAGCAGCAAGAAGAGACCTTGACCTTCCTCTTAGTGACAGCCTTGGAGGTACTTATAGAGGGATATCATGTTCCCCCTCAGTCTTCTCAAGGCGGAACATGACCATATGTTTCCCACAGGAACACTGGGTAAGGGGTTCCATTTGAATTCCCAAGGGGGGCACAACAGATTTGCTGCTGTGGGCTGTGTGTCAATTAGCACAATAGCAAACGTTTGCAAGGCAGCTTTGCACACAAAAGGGATTGAGT